AGCTGCTACTAGTGTGAAGTGAATGGACAGCAACAAAGCGTTAAAGCAACAATGGGGAAATGCTGTCCCCTCAACGCTAATGTAAACCCTGGTTGGATAAGGATTCAAAACTGGATATGAAGATGAAATCTGACGCACAGTTTCAGAGTTACAACTGATAAAATAATTGCTGTCTGTGGTTCTACAGTAGGCTATGGTGTAATTGAGCAATATATGAAAAAAAAAAGAAAAAAGAACTATGAACTAGTTTGTTTTTTGGAATTATGAACTATGAACTGAACTAGTTCATTTTAAAATGTGTGAACTGAACTTTGAACTAGTTCACGTAGAAAGAGAACTTTCCCAACACTGAGTATATATATACACACATGACTCAATTCTGTAGTTTCAAAAGAGGTGATCAGGAAAAGAGCAGAACCAGGAGCTTGATGCTTTTCACCCTCGCTACACTAGCACTAAACATTAAACACACACCTTCGCATTGCCCTCTCCACCATCACCATTTCTGGGGGAAGTCTCTGCACTGGTGGACTTTGGAACCCTAAAGACCGGTTCCAGGATTCCTTCAAGAAGATGGGAGGATTCTTCTGTCCAGTGAGCAAATCGTTGTCCATGCCTTTGAATGGAACAACAGGATCATAAGCACATAGTAAACTAAAATACAGAAGACATTGAAGTTTCCTGTGTGAAGGTACCCTTCAATGCAAAACCTCTCCATTATCTGGAGGCACCACCAACGGCGAATGGTTGGCATCTCCCACTTGAAAAAACAGGCAAAAGCAAGTATAATAAAAATTACAAGTGGCTAGAAGAATTTCAATGTAATCAACCCCCCAAGAACAAAAATAAACATACCTTGGAAAAGGTAAATGGGGTTGATGTGCTGATGCAGAGGGCATACTGTAAAACATCAAATAACTGTAACATACAGTTTGAGCCATGAGTAAAAGCTTTAAGTAAGCAGTGAATACCATTAACATGAAGATCCCACAGTCATGTCCGTTGGACTGAAGAGGAAAATGCTAAGCAAAGAGAAGCAAAAAGACACATGTAAAATTAGAGAAAAGTACAACAATATATGAGCGATAAATATGTGTTTTACTGCAAACATTTTACACTTTGATAATTACAAACATACTTCAAGGTCTCTCCCTGTCTTGTCAGACCATGGCCCTGGATCAATAAAGGCTGCAATGCGTCTGCATACATTTGAATTATAAATTCAGATTAAGGTGACACACTGAAATATACAAGTAGCCTGAGAACGAGGCTTTTATGAACACCTAGCCTGAGAACGAGGCTTTTATGAACACCTAGCCTGAGAACGAGGCTTTTATGAACACCTAGCCTGAGAACGAAGCTTTTATGAACACCTAGCCTGAGAACGAGGCTTTTATGAACACCTAGCCTGAGAACGAGGCGTTTATGAACACCTAGCCTGAGAACGAGGCTTTTATGAACACCTAGCCTGAGAACGAGGCTTTTATGAACACCTAGCCTGAGAACGAGGCTTTTATGAACACCTAGCCTGAGAACGAGGCTTTTATGAACACCTAGCCTGAGAACGAGGCTTTTATGAACACCTAGCCTGAGAACGAGGCGTTTATGAACACCTAGCCTGAGAACGAGGCTTTTATGAACACCTAGCCTGAGAACGAGGCTTTTATGAACACCTAGCCTGAGAACGAGGCTTTTATGAACACCTAGCCTGAGAACGAGGCTTTTATGAACACCTAGCCTGAGAACGAGGCTTTTATGAACACCTAGCCTGAGAACGAGGCTTTTATGAACATATATCCAAAGAGACAGAACTGGCAATAGGCCACAACCAGTGAAACAATATAGCTTGAACCTAAATATATTTTTGTAGGCCTCGTCACCAAAACCATCTGGTCGAAGGGAGTCAAGAAACACTATCTCTCTCTGTTTTACCAGTAGAACCTGCAATTGATATTATTTTTATTATCACATCATTAAACAGCAATACATATACATCCTTCACTGAGATTATTTAAAATACAAAAATTGTCATTACGCAGAGGAGGTAGTGATCAGCAGCGTCCTGTTGTTGGCTCCATGCTGGGAAAACTACAAGGTCTTTCGTTGTCAGGTCCTAATAATACCAATATGCATTAATATTACATCATACATGTTGTATACACTGAAGAATAGAAAGAGTGAGGAGGACAGCAATATAGATAAATTCACGAAAATACCTCCAGGCAGTGAACACAAAGGATCCACATCTGCCTTCCACAGGGGCACCACATACAGATTGAAGATGTGTATGTCTTTTCCCTTGTGAAAACAGAAAGAATGATGTTAAGCATTTCAATTGATTCACAGGGCGTAAATATGAAGATCTAGGCAATTTAATTACAAATCTTTTTGCCGTTTCCTCTACTATTTTCAGGCAAGCATTTCCAATCTGAAAAACATTGAAATTAACCAGTGATTAGACAGTTAGATATTACAGGTTTTATGAGACACATTTAAGAATACTTACATTTGATTCCATGCACTGACTTAACCCCAAGGACCAGAAATCCTCACGTGTAAGCAAGGGCGTAGGAATATGTTTACAATTGGGGGGGACACATGTCGGAAATCTGAGATTCGTAAATATTCAACAGAAACATATCTTAAGTACGCTACTTTAAAAAAAGGCTATTTAATCTTTTATTTTATTCCTTTATAAATGTGTCTTGCAAAAATAATGCATTTAAAATTTACATAATGCATTTGTTCATAAGATGTGAGCATATCACCAAACAAAATGACTGGAGTCTTTTATTAAGCAAAGGGAGATGTCTTTCAAGGGCTTCAGCCCTTGGCATATTTAGTGTCTGCATCACACTAGAAAATCAAATATTTCAGTTGGATCAAAAACAATTCAGTAGGCCACACAAGTGCAAAGTTTGATATGTTTTATTTTGTCAAACTTGCAATAATGGTCAAAAATGAATTTATATAGGTTGACTGACAGAGGGAGCTAACGGTGTGTTGAAGAATTATGGACAGGGCGCTTTGAAGCATCTGGTTCAAAAACGCATTCTAAACCTTTGGTAGAAATCCATCTATCCTTCCATTTTCTGTGCACCCTGTCCCTTAGTGGGGTCAGGAGGTGCTGGTGCGAGGTCCACCCTAGACAGGTGGCCAGTCTGTCCAGAACTTTGGTAGAAATGGCGCCTTTAATTCCAATTTGCAGTACAGAACAGAGAAAACTACAGAGTTGTCAATGTTGTGTTAATCTGTTTATAGTCTAAAAAGAGGAGCCAGCAGTTTATTTGAGGAAATAAAGGTGCAGAAGTTAATTAGTTGGTTAATTAGTGGTTGCACAACCAATGCGACCGCCGCTGCTAAGAATTAAAATTAATTCTCCCTGTGGTTTTAACTAACGTTCAGGAGCACGGCAGGTATAACATCTGTCAATTTCGGGGAATCAAAACCACGCAAAAAATAATCCTCGTAAAACGCACGCCCAGACCGGGCTAATTTCAACACAAGTTGTGTTAGGTGACTGTTACTCACACTGACGTTTCTCTTTTAAAAAAAATCTGAGTAAGTCCTACTGCTGTTTCAGCCTTTTAGTTGGTGGTGGCATTGTACTGAAATGGGATATATATATATATATATAAAAAAACATTTTGGCTAGCGTGGCAAACGTCTAGAGAAAGTTAGCAGTTAAATATTGGATGAGTGATCAGCCCAAGACTACGGAAGAGGATAGGGCCTAGAAAAAAAAAAGTTAAGTGATTTTTAAATTTTATTTCAGTTTAATATGGGAAAAAGTCAGAATTTTGACTTTTTTTTCTCAGAATTCTGACTTTAATCCCAGAATTCTGACTTTTTTTCTCAGAATTCTGACTTTTTTTCTCAGAATTCTGACTTTAATCCCAGAATTCTGACTTTTTTTCTCAGAATTCTGAGTTTTTTTTCCAGAATTTTGGATCTTAATGTAGATGGGCACCATGAGGGAAGAGATGCGGAGCACTCAGCTTCACTGACAAAGATGTGAGTTGTTTGAGGTGGCCAGTGACACATTGGTGGAAAATGACAGAATTAGGCAACTTTTTACGTGCCCGAGGGGTCCCCTCATTAATGGAGGAGCAGAAGGTCATTAAAACAAGAGAGCTAGTCTCTCAAACAGACATGGCTATGGCTTGATGCTAACATTTTGTTATATTACATTTGTGTTGTGTTTTCCAAATAGTGTAGAGAATGAATGGTGGGTTTATAATGTTTACCTTTTATGAGCAGGACAGTAAGCAGAGAAGTGTAGCATTACCTCCAACTAGTTAAACTCATAATTATGAAGTTATTCAACAAATTCCTCAAGTAAAAAAGTGCAACTTTTATTTTTTATTTATTTTTTACCAGATTTATTGATTAATTTCAAAATGATGTATTCCTTCCAAATTTCCAAATCTGAAGAATTTTTTAAACCAATATCTACATTATTTAACATTTAGTTTGTTTTAGCAGTACTTCCTGTTTTATTTCTTTAAACGTATATTTTACATTTTCTTGCACAGCAAGCTCAGCAGATTTGAAATTGTGTGCTTGTGTAAACACAAGTAGTCAATCTTTACTCTAAACATATATTCTGGTTATCTTTTAGTTAGACCTTCTTGTTTTTATATATCTGTATTTCTATATATGAAAGTGAACTAACAAGACGTTATAAATAGGCAATATTCATAGCAGCATCCCGACAGACCATTTTACCTCATTCACAAGTTTCTGACTTCTGTGTCGCCGTTTCCCTCCCTTCTGAGTGCTCAAACACTCAGCAGTTCAGAGAGGGGAGGGGGAGTACAGTGACGTAACGCTATGCTGCGCCTTCAAAATAAAAGCACGCTAGTTAAAAAAATGTCAAAATCTAATATTTTGCGGTACAATTTTTTGGGGGGGACATATCCACTTGGCTTTTATATTGGGGGGGACATGTCCCCCCCGTCCCCCCCGCTTCCTACACCGCTGTGTGTAAGGCACACACTTCTCTCCTTCACAATTAGCTCAGCAGGTGAACAATCCTGGTCCAATATGTAACATAGCTAAATGAAAGAAAATTAAAATATTTCAGGAGAAGTTATTACATTTGGGGCAGCAATGTGAGAAAGGAGAGGAGGTTAAATTAGCAGAGCCAGTCAGGCGCAGATTCAGAGCAAAATACACTATATTGCCAAAAGTATTTGCTCACCCATCCAAATTATTGGAATCAGGTGTTCCAATCACTTCCATGGCCACAGGTGTATAAATTCAAGCACCTAGGCATGCAGACTGTTTTTACAAACATTTGTGAAAGAATGGGTCGCTCTCAGGAGCTCAGTGAATTCCAGCGTGGAACTGTGATAGGATGCCACCTGTGCAACAAATCCAGTCGTGAAATTTCCTCGCTCCTAAATATTCCACAGTCAACTGTCAGCTGTATTATAAGAAAATGGAAGTGTTTGGGAACGACAGCAACTCAGCCACGAAGTGGTAGGCCACGTAAACTGACGGAGCGGGGTCAGCGGATGCTGACGCGCATAGTGCGAAGAGGTCGCCAACTTTCTGCAGAGTCAATCACTACAGACCTCCAAACTTAATGTGGCCTTCAGATTAGCTCAAGAACAGTGCGCAGAGAGCTTCATGGAATGGGTTTCCATGGTCGAGCAGCTGCATCCAAGCCATACATCACCAAGTGCAATGCAAAGCGTCGGATGCGGTGGTGTAAAGCACGCCGCCACTGGACTCTAGAGCAGTGGAGACGCGTTCTCTGGAGTGACGAATCGCGCTTCTCCATCTGGCAATCTGATGGACGGGTCTGGGTTTGGCGGTTGCCAGGAGAACGGTACTTGTCTGACTGCATTGTGCCAAGTGTAAAGTTTGGTGGAGGGGGGATTATGGTGTGGGGTTGTTTTTCAGGAGCTGGGCTTGGCCCCTTAGTTCCAGTGAAAGGAACTCTGAATGCTTCAGCATACCAAGACATTTTGGACAATTCCATGCTCCCAACTTTGTGGGAACAGTTTGGAGCTGGCCCCTTCCTCTTCCAACATGACTGTGCACCAGTGCACAAAGCAAGGTCCATAAAGACATGGATGACAGAGTCTGGTGTGGATGAACTTGACTGGCCTGCACAGAGTCCTGACCTCAACCCGATAGAACACCTTTGGGATGAATTAGAGCGGAGACTGAGAGCCAGGCCTTCTCGTCCAACATCAGTGTGCGACCTCACAAATGCGCTTCTGGAAGAATGGTCAAAAATTCCCATAAACACACTCCTAAACCTTGTGGACAGCCTTCCCAGAAGAGTTGAAGCTGTTCTAGCTGCAAAGGGTGGACCGACGTCATATTGAACCCTATGGATTAGGAACGGGATGTCACTTAAGCTCATATGTGAGTCAAGGCAGGTGAGCAAATACTTTTGGCAATATAGTGTATGTCAAAGCATACAAGAGCCTCTTGAACTGGGTTCACATCCCGTTCCCACTTTGCTCCAGAAAAACAATAGGAATGCTCCTGCTGCCAGTCCCTAGAGGAGTATTCGTGGTCGTTGAGGAGCTGCCCTTCAGATAGTTGCTCATCTGGTTGTATATACGATGACAACATTTTTTCAGTTATTCTCATGAAGTAAAAATATGAACACAAAGACACAGAAGTGTGGAACATCTAAAAGCACTTACTTGTTAACCTATAATAGGGCCTCAGTCTGGACACATTGACCTTCATGGTTGTTGATCCCTTCAGCACAGTGGCCACTCCCTTTTTTGTAATGTTTCCAATCTTGTAAGGTCCTCTGTGCTGGCTGGTCAATGTGTCCCCTGTACGTGGCCTTTTTGAAGCTCCTGAAATCAGACATTCATCCCCAGCCTCAACAGTTGCGACACGGGTAAATTTGCGTTTCCGGTCTCCAAAAGTCCTTTGCTGTCTTTCCTGTGCCATTTCAATATTTTGAAGAACCTTCAAAAATAGAAATGCACTTTAGGCAAGATTGTAAAAAAAAATCTTATTTCTAGTATTTTCTCAACATTTACAAACCTTGGTATTAATATTGTGTACTTCAGTCAGGTGTTTATCGATTTCATCCTCTGCATCACCAACCTCAAAGTTGTCTCCCATTGGACAGGTGTTCATTATCTCGGGCAGACGTGGGTGACGGTGGAACAAGAGGAAGTATGGGGTGTATTTGGTTGAAGACTGATAGCAAAAAAGTTAATGGTTATCTGTTTTCAGATATTTTGTGCAAATGAAACACTAGTGTACTACCTGCTTGGCAGTGTTAATTCCATAAACAACTGCAGGAAGGTGAAGGTCCCAGTCATTATGGCTTTCGTTGACATACTTCCTCAGAGCACGCTTTATATTTTGATTTCCTTTCATCCTAAATGAAAGATATGTTTTTTCATAAATAAAGCAACTTGATTTAAACATGAAGGTTCTTGCAAAACAAAGGCTAAATACCTGTCCATTGGTCTGGGGCTGGTAAGCACTGGACACAGCATGCTGGATGTTCAGCAGTTTAAAGATACTGTCATTGAGCTGCAGGGAACACATAAATATCTTCAAAGGACTGAAGTTTGCAAAAATGACAGAAGAGAAGATGGATAAAATTTCACCTGGTTCACAAACTTCTTCCCCTGATCTGTTATTATTTTTCTCACTAGGCCAAACGTGTACAGCTTAGAGATGATTGCTGAACAAACTTCTACAGCGGTCTTTGTTCGTAGAGGTTCAGCAACCACCCACTTTGTGAACAGATCGGTCATAGTGAGGACATAGTTGTGTCCCAGAGAGGTCTCTGGCAATGGCCCAATCAGGTCCAATCCAAGAACCTCCCAGGGTTCTTTTACCTACCACACAATAAAAGAACAAATAATAGAAAGATATAATGGAAAGGGGTTATATTTACTTATAAAAACAGTGCTTGTGTTTCAGTCCATAAATTAAAAAAATTAGAACCTTGATTGAATGTAGAACCGGTGCTACAGTTTTCATTGGATCATTTATTTGGCAGCGGTGACAACGCTTGACCTGAAAGGAAAATTTGTTTGTGTAGTTGATTCAGGCTGATAAACAACAAAATCAGCTAAATACAACCTATAGCTTCTACTAATTGTGTATTACATTCTTTATGCTAAAAGTCTTCAAAATTAAAGGTGATGGAAGGTATGAGCCATAATTAATTTGTTTTACATTACCCATTCATCAACATCCTTTGTGATGGTGAGCCAATAATACCCAGCAATAACCCTGTCTCGAGTGGCCCTCCTGCCATTGTGGTTGCCAGTACCAGGATTATTGTGGCACTCCATCAAGACAGATGTTCTTTCTTTCTCAGAAAGTACCACAAGCCGCATGAACTGCCGTCTGGGACCAACGTAGAAGAGTCTGCTGTCTGTTAGAAGAATGGTTGGATGGAATGATATGAAAACAGTATAAATAAAACATATTTTATGTTTTTTTTTCATGCAAAGACATAAAATTTAAAGCATACAGATATTTTTGTGCATCCCAGAGAAATGCAGTAACCCAAACAGCATAGAAGATAAAATATATAAATAAATAATTTAAAATTGTAAAAAATATGATCGCATTTAACATTTTAAATATATATTTTTACTTTGACCGTAACATGCTTGCTAGAATAAAAAGTGAAGGAAATAAGAACATAATCTTCTTAAATGTGAAATATATTCTATATTGGATTTAAAATTGAAAAGACTGCTTTACCAGGGACAAAAAAAAAAAAGTATCATTCTTATTTAAACATTAAATGGACTTATAAACTAAATAATTATTAAATGAATATTTTTTCTGGCTGGTTTTACTTTTTAATTTTCTTACCTTTAACTTGAAAATGTGGAGACATCCTTTTTATTTTTTTTCTGGAATAAAAATCCAAATTTTCGGGAAATGTTCCCTTATCAATGAAAAACTGCAGGTTTCGAAAGGTAGCAAATGAATCCATTGTGGGATCAGTACTGCTGGAGTGCATCGTTAAGTACAGAGTAAATCAAATATTTAAACAAATTTAAATATAAACGCTGTGTGACGTATATTTGCGCATGCTCAGAGCAGTCAAAGTAACTATCACAAGACGATTTAACTTTTTTTATGTATTTCTGTTTTTTTATTTTTAGAAAATGCAATATTGACGAAAATACAAAGATATACAAAAAGAAACCCATGCCTCTAAAAAATACAAAAGAATAAAAATGTAAGAAAAAGGGAATATTGCCACCGGAAGTTATTCTGTTCGCGCAGGCGCAAATGAGCTGATGGTACGGATCGTGCTACCGGTACGGATCGGGTAGCGACAGGCTCCATTATTAGCATTAGCGTGAGCTAGCAATGATAGCATTAGCAAGAGCTAGCATTAACGTGAGCTAGTTCCAATTTTAGCATTAACGCTAGCTGGCACTTCTCACTTAGTAAACATGCTAACATTTAACCAACTGTAGAATTTTATTTTTGGCTTGCCGCGCCAAATTTATATGTTTTTTTTTACTGCAATTGAATCAAGTCATGCAAGTCAATAGTTAATGTCTCTTTCAGGTTAGCCGCTTGATTTGCTATTGCTGTGTTGGGCCTTTTTACTTTGGCTTAAAATCAAATGCTGCAATACTCTAAATGCTAAGCTAACCTTAGATATGGAATTTATTCTTTGGTTTAAGCATTTCTCTTTCAAGAAGCAACTGAAATTTAATCGGTTCTTGTCCAAGCAAAAGGACTCAGTGATATGAATCACTTTAGAACCTGGGTCTCCAGAAGAATGGCAGCAAGGTGCTTCTTCAGCATCATCCAGGTAAATTTATGAATGTAAGTTCAGTTGTTCTCCTACGACGGAGTATTAGGGCCGGGCTAGAGAGTTTTATTTTTTTTTAGAATAAAGTCGTAACATTATG